ACCCCACTCTCCGGACTCATCTCCAGGACTCATCCTGGACCACAGCTCTTGGTGTGGTTTCTACTTCGTGCTTCTTTCCTACCCCGAGCTGCCCCCGACCACCTTTCATGGGCCCCTCAAACATCTGCTAACACAACAGTTGCTGCCTGTTCTGGGGCTGGCTCTGGGAGGTTTGGGGACTCAGTGTGTGGGCAGCTGCAATCAATCAGACCTCTGTTTCAGCATCCCGACCCCTCCTCACAAATGTCTCGCTTCTGTTTGAAACACTATTGAGAAATACAATTTGTTGCTCTTTCAAGCTGACCAGCTTGGAGTTCAAAATACAGCAAGAACTATGACACCCGGGGGGCACAGGCATTCAGTGGGCAATCTTTTCAACTGTTGCTTTTTCTGAAACCTTTGCTCACACACATGTGATCTGTGTCTAAATGGCCACGCATAGCTCAGGTCTCACTGGGAGTCTACCAATGCTTGGTGGTCAAACCACATCTCAAAAAAGCAGTAACTAGTTATGTCAGCAGAAGTCCTGCTAATCATCACGTCATAGGCTTTTGCGCTGGGCCGTGCCCTCAATAGCACACACTGTCACTTTGCAAAAGGGAGGCTGTGGCTTCAAAGAACACACCAGGCAGAAGGGGCCTCAGGAGACCAAGTGAGGGAAACTGTGGGGGAGGCCAGCAGAATCAGACCTAGGCAGAGATGGAGCATGACTGACCCTCTGGGCTGCCTTGCTGTGAACCCAGTGGTTGCAATTACAGTCCCAGGGAGAGGCAGGCCTTCTGGCTAGGTGCGTGCATCACTTCCGCCAGCTGGAGTCAACTTCTCTACAGCCACCCTCCCGCACTCAGGATCCAGGTGGCCGGGACACCAGCCACCTCGTTCAGCACCCCTACCCACGGGCTGGGCAAAGAAGGTCTAAGAAGACAGTGTGAAAGCAACTTCTAACACCCTACCCACTGCATCCCAGCCACACTGCCATGACAAACAGGAGCCACTGTTGCTGTGGCTGGGAAGGGGCAGGGTACCTGCAGGGGCACCTGGTGGGCTCCCGGGATCATTTCCACCTGATTCCACAGGCAGCACACGTGAGATGACAATGCCCACACGCGGCCAGCCTCCCGATAGTGGCGATTCTGAGTCTGTAGCCACGTCATCACCCTCAGCTCTGAGCGTGGCCTTCTCCGCAGCCTGGGCTGAGCTGCACAGCGGGCCTCCTTCCCGTTTTCAAAAGGAAAGGATGAAGCAAAAAGAGGGACGAAGAAGTAAATGGCAAGGACAGCAAAGGGACGGTAAAACCAGAAGGAAAGATGGCAAATAAAGAAAAAAGGGAGCCCTTACAATGGATTGAGTGTGCCTCCCAGGAACGTCACCCACTTGTCCCAGTTCTGTCACTGGGGTTGCCCAGAACAAGCCCATGCCTTCCACCCCCCAAGCTCTGTAACTCCAAGGATAGCAACTATTTGTCAGCACTCACCACGCCAGCCAGTGTACTAGGTGATGTGTGTGTGTGCAGAGAAAGATACACATGTATGTCAACAGAAGTGCACACATATACCTACACAGATATGCACATGTGTGTGCGCACACATCAGAATACATGTACACAGATGCACATATATGTGAATACATTATATACACACATGTGTACACACTTCCCTTATTCCTCTGCACAGTTGTACATCATTATTGGTGGTGGAAGTATTATTTGCTGCACAGAGATGTTAAGCCATTTGCCCGGGGCTGCTGGCCTTCGGTCCCTTGTCTGGTGGGCCTTCTGATTGTTGGTGTCCACTCTCCCCACCCTCCAATGCAGATCCAAAAGTGAACCCCAGTTCCAGAAGGGCTTCCCTTTCCTCAGGAGTGGCCAGATGGAATGCACAAGTCAAGGGCCCAAATCCTGCTGATGCCCACCGCTGCTGGCTCAGGGCCCACGCCTGCGAGCAGCGCCCCACCCCCAGCACTTGTCCTGCCAACTCTGTGGCTGTGCACAGGACAGGGCCTTGGACCTCAGAGCTTTTTGTCCTCCCTGCTGGTCTGACTCTCCTGGATTCACTCCCTGGTCCCTTTTCTGCTGGCAATCTGGGGGTACTCTGGCCCCCATCCTTGCTCTGGGCACCCTGACTAGCGGCCAGTGGAAAGCCCCTGCACACTCACCCATACCTCGGGAGGTCTGCTGTGGGCCCTAAGGTCCCAGCCCCAATCAGCACTTGTAGGAAGCTGGGGTTTGTCAGAACTCCCAATGGCTCAAGATCTAATTGAAAACACACTTCGTGCTTTCACTCTGCAGATCTCGTGCCCCTAGTCCCAGAACCCACGCACAAAGGGGCTCCTTTGCAAGAATCATCAGTTGCCCCTCACCCCCACCAAATAAGCAAATATATAAACCACAACCAATGACCCACGAAAGAGTCCAAAACCCGGCAGGAAATGCAGAGCAGCGCCAACCCTCAGCCACAGGCCTGCCTTTCCAGAGGTGTGCAGACCTGAGCTTATTCCCCTGTAGTTACCAATGCTGAGTGAAGCCAAGGCCCACAGAAACTAGGGTCTATGGGCAGCAAGTCCCACCTCGGCTGCTGTCTGGCCATGTGCAGGTCCCTTACACCAGTGACACGCCCAGCTCACAGGGCTCCTGGGCACAGAGCCCTACATGTTCCAAACTGAGTCCAGTGCTATTTTCAAATGCACTGGGGGACTAGTGGTTACCAAAGGGGAGGGGGGGGAGGGCAGGTGGGGAGGGAGGGAGAAGGGGATTGTGGGGTATCATGATTGGTGCACATGGTGTGCATGGGGTCACGGGGAAGACAGTGTAGTTCAGAGAAGACAAACAGGGACTCTGTGGCATCTTACTACACTGATGGACAGTGACTGCAATGGGGTATGGGGAGGGACTCGATAATAAGGGTGACTGTAGTAACCACATTGTTTTTCTTGTGAAACCTTCATAAGAGTGTATATCAATGATACCTTAATAAAAAAAAATGCACTGGGGTTGTCCTGGGCCTGGCTTCCAGGGCTCCTGGAAAAGCAAGGCCCACCTCCTGAGGCCATAAATCACGCAGTGGGGAAGCCAAAGCAGGCGAAGCCCCACGGCGGGAAGGCTGGCTGGGGTGCGGCAGTCTCCGTCGGGGGTAGCTCAGGGCCCATTCCCCCTGCTCTGGCCACAGTCGTTTGGCACGCACACTTCCCAGGGGCCTCTTCACTACTTCCCTGGACTCTGCCCTCCCTAGCCTTGGCCCAGGGAAGGCAGACAGAACCAGGGCAGCCTCCTCAGGATCTTGGAGGCCTGCCTGAAGCCGATGAAGCAATCTATACATCTGGGCACAGCCCACCAAGCAGTGCATTTTTAAAGGTTTCTACCGATGTGAGGACGGGCAATGTCTCCTATGATGCCATGGTGTCATTCCAGCTTGTGGCTAGTAAAAATATAATAACACGTGTGAGTTGTTTTTATTACCGATCTACCTTATTAGCTAATAAAATAAGCTCAGCATTAAAAATTTAACTGAAGCCACTGATCACAACCAGAATTCAGGGCTCTGGGTTTCCTTCAGAAGTCACCCAAATCTGTCAGCTTTCCAGCCTTTTTACCTATTTAAATTTCTCCAGAGAAGGAAAATTCCACTCGCATGTCCAACATAAATGAAAGTGTTTGCTAGTTCTCTAGCGAACAAAGTAAAACAGTTCACAACTTGGGAAAAGGAAAGTTCTGGAGCGGAGATGGGCACAACGGCTCAGAGGCAGAGGGGGAAGCCCACCCAGGCCTGGAGGGGGCACATCAGGAGCCTGTCGTGAGCCAAGGTGGCCAGAAGGCCTGGACTCCGGCCAGGTGTGCGCTCTGGACTTGAGATGCCTGAACCTCTTCTTCTGGGGTCCCCAGGTTAGAAGGGGGCACTGGAGGGGAGAGAAGGAGATGCCTTCAAGAGAAACTGCACTGCCATGCAAAATGCAGGGAAGTCCAGCACAAAAAGCAGCAGTGAGCCCTGAAGGCAGGCACTCCAGCCTGTGGAAGGCAAGGCCCTGAGGCGCCTGGTGCCCAAACGTGGCCACGTGCTGCATGAGTGAGGCCAACCCCTCGCCACCACGCTGGTCTCCATCCCCCTCGCACCCAGTGACCACTGACCCTTACATAACAAGACCAGACAAGATGCATCATCCTGGTACTAAGCACCAGAGGGCATCCTGGACTTAGGGCCCAGGGTGCCATTTCCTACTTACATCGCCTGGTCCTGGAGTGGACGTGTCCCAAGGGCCAACCTGCGCCCTGGACCTCACTGTCATGCTCTCCTCGGGCCTCCCCAGTAAGAACCAGACGCAGGCCGTGCTCAGGCTCAGAGACTGCCGTGGCGACAGTGTACAACCCCAAGTCACCTCATTCAAATCAGCACCCAAGATCAGGGTCAGCACAAGGCTCCAAGACACAGAGCACAAAGTGCAAGTGACAGGGCCGGAGCCCCATCTGTCAGCAACAGAGGGGATGGCTAGGGGGACACAGAGGAAAGGACCAGGATTTCCTGATGGCCGCACATTCTCAGCAGCTGGATCAGAAGAGTAAGTGCCTCCCCCCATCCCTCGCCCTGTGAAGCTACTAATAACCACAGCCCTAATTTCGGTATCAGCATGATCCGGGTGACACTGAGCTGTGGCCTGGGCTGCAGGGACGGGTCCCTGGGAGAGAGGCTCCAGCGAAGTGCCTGAGGGGGTGGCCAGCACTTGGCGATGCTGATCTGCCCGCCGACACCCTGCCTCTCACCATCTGCTCTTGTGCCATGAGCACTGTATTCACAGAGAGCATTTCTGATTTTAAATGAAGAGAAATAGACATTAAAAAAAAAACTTGCTTTCATCTTTCTCTGAATAGGATTTTAAAAACAAGGAAATTAACCCATTCTTGGGCATCTAGAACTGGCACCCTGCACTTGCCAGGATGGCAGGACCGGAGGAGGCTCCATAAGCACCACGATGCTAGGGCAGCACCTTCCACATGGCTGGGCTCGTCTTACCTGAGCCATCTTGGCAAGGTCCAGGGAAGGCCTCTGCTCCTGCGCCTCCTCGGGGCGCCGCCGTTTAATGCCAACCTTCTTGTCATTAAGGACACATGGCTGGGAGCGGCTTCGGGAGAGGCCACTGGAGCGCCTGGCCAGCTCTGGCGTTGAGGCAGGTGTGCTGCTGGCTGAGGGTGGGCAGTATTCCACAAAGGAAAACTGCTCATGGGAGCAGGAGAGGGACCGCTGCATGTCGAGCCGGCCCCCTCCCACGGGGGTGGGGTCAGGGCTCCAGATGTCACCTGCCCGTCCACAGGCGGCCGAGCCTGGCACCCCCTGGTAGGGCTGGCCTCCAAACTGGTGGTGAAATGCTGCCTGGTCATAGTGTGAGGAGAGCGCGTTGGCCCGGGAAGGGAGGCTGAAGCTGGAGCTTCTCTGCATGGGGCTGAAGCCGTTGGAGTAGCGCTGGACACTGCCCCCACTGTAACACCGTCTCTTTTCTACAGGAGTCCAGACTCTGGACCCCAAGGGCCGCCACGACGTCCGGCAGCTGGACATTTCATCAGAGAAGGACAGTGACCGGCACTGGCGCTTGCTGGGGGGTGCTGAGGGGCTCCCGCTGTGGTCGCTGAGGCTCAGGTCTTTGATCAGGTTGGTCACCGCACAGGCGGCGGCTGCCTCCCGGTGCCACAGAGTGCCATCCGGACACTTCTCAGGCAGGCACTCCCAGATGCTGGCACTCGGCTGGTCAATCTGAAGAGGGCATTTCCTGTCCAGGTCTCGCCATCTGTCATTTTCTGGTTCATAAATGACAAAGAGAAAACAGGATTTGAGAAGGCCTATCACGCAAGCCCTCTATCTTCTCACCAAGAGCCTCTTTTAAATAGGATTTTAGAGCCAAAAGGCCCTTAGAAACCATCCACTCCAACCTTACTTTATAGAAGAAAAACTGAGGCTCAGAGAGGGGACATGAGTCCCAAGGTTTTGAAATAATTGAATTAGAAGCAGAGTGAGACCTAGGATCGATCCATGCATCCCCGGGCACTGAGATACAGTTTTCTTTCCAACATACTGTACGCCTCCCAGGAAAGTCCAAAGCAGAACTTTTCACTCAAAATGCTTTCTCATTTTATAGGTAAGAAACTGCCTTGCCCCTCCCCACCTAGGCCCAAGGTGGCCAGGGCACTCTGCCGGTCCTGGCCTAGGCCTTGATGCACTGGCCGAGGACCACAGCCCACGATGAGTCTCAGCACTTCAGAGGGTCAGGGTCAGATGGGGCTGGGGGTGCTGCCAGGTTGGTTCACCTGAATTCCATCTTTAAAACACTTGCTTATAATACAAACCAGGTATTTTATTGATTTATATTCCATCCACCAAAAAGCTCCACGACATAATCAACAGTGGCCAATCACTGAGTGTGTGCCTAAGGCTCACTCAATTTCTCACTGAAATTGAGGCTATTCATAAGCAGTTAAGTCTATAGGAACAAGTCTTGGGCTATACAGTGGTAAGGGCACAATTTAAATGTACATATTCAGGCCTCTTCTTGAACACATGAGTAAAGAAGCTACCCTTGCGATGAAATGCTGACTTGATACTTGAACCTTTATTTTAGGGAATATTCAAGAACTATTTGTTGTTTTTCTACTATAAAATCAGGCATTGTGCTGAGAATTTTAGGAGAGCAAAGATAAATGTGACATAGTTCCTCTACCAAATTTGTGACCCAAGAGCAAAGTTAGGAAGGAAGCTGCGCTGCCAGTGATCCACATGTTAGCACGTTTCAATTTCTTTCTAACCTACATACATTTATATGCTGTGCAGACAGGGTTACAGAGAAAACTTGAGTCAGTCGGCCAGTAGATGGACAGAAGCAAAGGCTGAAATGATATTCAGGAGGTATTTTGTGCTCAATGATTCTCACAGCACTGTGGCCAACCACTGGGCATCCACCATGGCTGGTGAAGGCCCTCAGCGTCCCGATAGGCCTCCATCCTTGCCAGATGGGGAGGCCGAGACCTAGAGGTTGATTAAGTAGCCCAGGGCCACACAGCTAACAACTGACAGGACACAAACCCAGACTGGCCCAACCCAGAGCCGTGCTCTTCTCATTACACTACGGCACTGAGGGGTCCATGGGGAACCTGGCAGTGGCCCCGCCCTCATGGAGTTTACAAGTCATGCCAGATGGGCCACATGCTCAGAAACCTGTGCTGTGTCCTCTGTGACTGCTCCAGGCAGCAGGGACCATACATCTATCTCCTCTACTGGTGACCACTTCTCCATGGCACTGAGAGACACCCTGAGGGGCTGACCCTGTGCGGAGTGTCACTATCAGCAGCTACTTGACAGGCTCAAAGGGCGTGACCAGTGAGGCCCAAAAGGAGCTTCAGGAGCCAAAGAGAAGCCAAATCAGGGCTAAATGTGGCACTCCTTCATCTAGGGTACCCTGCCCCAGTCATGAGACAAAGCCTGAGGGGCTGGGACCACAGCAGGGGGCAGGGGAGAGGCTGCCCCCACGAGAGAGAATCAGCAGCTGGAGATGCAGGAGAGATTTCTGTACGCCCAGCTAGGCCCGTTGGAACAATGCAGGACTGTCTCTAAATGTCCACTTCATCTTGTCCCAAAATCTTCCCAGCCCATGACACACAGCAAGTCTCAACACACGTTCCTTAATTGAATTTGATAATTCATTACCCAAGATTACCTTTTGGCAAGCATTTATGGTGCCCAAAATATGTCTTCGCTATCCACAACCCCTAAAGTATGTACCACTGTTTTAAAACAATCTCAATCTGACACTTGTCAGCAGTTGAAAGTTCATGAATAATAAAGTAGAATGAAAAGAAACTAACATTGCCCAAGTCACAACTGTCTGTGATCTGATTTAGATGAAGAAAAGTCATCCTCAGAAAAAAGGGGATATTTATGTATGATGACGCTCCTCACACTCCAAGCCAGAGCAGAATGGTTGGTAAGACAACAGAACGTCCTACAGCAGGGGCCGGTTACATAAATTAGCAAGGGGTGACACGGAGCATGAAAAAAGCAGAGTTTCAGAGAATATTAATGATGTGAGGAAAATGTTAATGATGGAATGTTAAGCACAAAGAAACAGAATATAAAACTGTACAGACAGCATGATTCTTATTTAGTAAAATATGCATGTTCTATGTGAAGATGAAAAGAAAATAACCCAAAATGTTCATAGTCAGTTTGCAGGTAGCTGGCTGATTTATAATTTCTCCTTTTTGTTTTCTGCAGTTTCTACATTTTCCATAAGGGCAGCTATCATTTCCAAATATGTGGGGGACGTGACCACCAAATGCCTGGTGGTGTGCCAGCGTCAGCGCCAGGGCCTACAATCTCATCCTCCTCCAGGTGCGTCTTGGCTTCCAGGGAATTCCCAGAGAGGAGCACGGGCCATCAGCTTCTCCTAGGACAAGGCGCTGAGGTGCTAGATGTGGCCAGCTGAGGGGAGAACCCACGGGCCCGGCCACCAGCAACGAGGGCCCTGTGGTGGCATCACAGGGGTCCTATTTAGGGAGCCTGTGGCTTCACTGCGGAACATCTCTCTCCCAGGAAATTAGAAGGGACTGACCCTGTCCTCCGTGGACACCGCTTTCCATTTTTATTTTGCTGCCGTGGAATTTTCCCCATCTCCAGGGAAATGAGAAGAGAGGGGAATCAGGAGCCAGTTAAATGTGAACGTTCTGCCACTCTCATCTGGCAGCCATTCCTGTCCTGGGGCCACCTCGTGATCTTGTGCTTCTTGACTGGACCCTTTGGGCCTCCCTCCTCCGGCCCACTCCTCACCACTACCTAAGAACTTTCTGAGGCCCACACCTGTTATGGCCCTCAGCAGCTGTCATCCCAGCCCCCATCCAGCCCTGGGCTCCCCAGTACACCCTCTGTTCCAGGCACATCACACTTGCTGTGACGTCGGAAGTCAGACAAGAATCGGTAAGAGTCAAAGCCCACAAAGAACACCCTTCCTGGCTTTGTGTACACGACCCTGAAGAGTGACTCTCATGTCCCAGCTATTCTTTATAAAAATGAAGTTTAGTAAAGCAATGGCAGGAATGAGCCCAGGTAATATTTATATGCAGAGAGACGGATGTTCCATTTGTTTTTAGGTTTTTTAACTATCAGATCCCCAGTGGGGACCTGGGCCAGATGGCTAATTCTAACATGTTCCTGCTCATCTGAAGGAACTACTCTACTCTGTTTTAAAAAGTAAGCCTCTCTGACTTTAATATATAGAACAAATACGTAATATTTGTTGTAGGGAAAATAAAAAGAGTCAGTTCTCAACTCAGGTCACTGGTTAAATACAAGCACAGTGGGACTGCAGTGACTCAGCTTTCCCCCAGACATCAGCTCTCTCATGCCTTCAGACCTGCGCAAAGGCCTAGACTAAGTTTCTCCTGCCTTTATCCCTCCACCAAGTCTCTTACTCATCATTTAGAGGCAACTCAAACATCACCCTCTCTGTGGGTGTGCTTTCCCTGAATGGACCCTCAGGCACCCACAGCTCTTTAACAAGACCTTAATCACATAGCTCACGTTAGCTGCGCCTTACTGAACGGTTTACATGTCTACTTCTATGGAGCCACAGACCCATGATGGCCCCCCAGGGCCCGCACAGAGCATGGCACGCAGCAGACCCTTGCCAGTGGTGGGTGTAGGAAGGAGTGGACGGTGTGCAGACCAAAGCAGCAGAGTGGGCCCTGGGTGTCTGCTGGCCTCACTTCTCTTTTGTCCCTGGCACAGCCAACCTTACCTTGGCCGGGCAGGTCCAACATGAGCTCTACCTTGAACTCCTCGCCCCACACCAGAGAACATCTCTCTCCCAGGAAATTAGAAGGGACTGACCCTGTCCTCCGTGGACACCGCTTTCCATTTTTATTTTGCTGCCGTGGAATTTTCCCCATCTCCAGGGAAATGAGAAGAGAGGGGAATCAGGAGCCAGTTAAATGTGAACGTTCTGCCACTCTCATCTGGCAGCCATTTCTGTCCTGGGGCCACCTCGTGATCTTGTGCTTCTTGACTGGACCCTTTGGGCCTCCCTCCTCCGGCCCACTCCTCACCACTACCTAAGAACTTTCTGAGGCCCACACCTGTTATGGCCCTCAGCAGCTGTCATCCCAGCCCCCATCCAGCCCTGGGCTCCCCAGTACACCCTCTGTTCCAGGCACATCACACTTGCTGTGACGTCGGAAGTCAGACAAGAATCGGTAAGAGTCAAAGCCCACAAAGAACACCCTTCCTGGCTTTGTGTACACGACCCTGAAGAGTGACTCTCATGTCCCAGCTATTCTTTATAAAAATGAAGTTTAGTAAAGCAATGGCAGGAATGAGCCCAGGTAATATTTATATGCAGAGAGACGGATGTTCCATTTGTTTTTAGGTTTTTTAACTATCAGATCCCCAGTGGGGACCTGGGCCAGATGGCTAATTCTAACATGTTCCTGCTCATCTGAAGGAACTACTCTACTCTGTTTTAAAAAGTAAGCCTCTCTGACTTTAATATATAGAACAAATACGTAATATTTGTTGTAGGGAAAATAAAAAGAGTCAGTTCTCAACTCAGGTCACTGGTTAAATACAAGCACAGTGGGACTGCAGTGACTCAGCTTTCCCCCAGACATCAGCTCTCTCATGCCTTCAGACCTGCGCAAAGGCCTAGACTAAGTTTCTCCTGCCTTTATCCCTCCACCAAGTCTCTTACTCATCATTTAGAGGCAACTCAAACATCACCCTCTCTGTGGGTGTGCTTTCCCTGAATGGACCCTCA